TCCAACTGCCGAGGCCTTGGATCGTGGACGAGAAGAAGGATGACGGCTACACCGCACTGCACCTGGCTGCCCTCAACAACCACGTGGAGGTGGCTGAGCTGTTGGTGCACCAGGTAACGACACAAATAACCGATTTGAATGCATGCTTAACGGCAACAACAAATCGTTGAGAGGGGCCCCCCCCCCCCCCCCCCTTTTTGTTACAGTAACAAGCCGGGAGGAAAACTGTATCAACTTAGCCCGAAATTCTGTCTTTTCCCGCCCACAGAACAATAAAAGCCATTTCCCTGGTCTCCCTGGCGCCAGCCAGTTGTAGACCAGTTGAAGCCGCTATAAAGGCCCTTTTTTCTCTTTTTTTTATTGAATCCATACGCTACAGAGCCTCCGAGGGTATTTTTTTTTAGTGCTTTCGGGCCCTAATATCCTCCTCCTCCTTGCAATCACAGGTTCATGCTCTTTTCCCATCAGAACGTTTTTACTCTCTCTCTCTTTCTCTCTCTCTCTCACACATACAAGAGTTTACAGCAGAAGTCACCTGACCGACGCAGGAACTGGGTTAATTTGGATATGGTGCAAAGCAGCGATGCTGCTGCAACATTCCAACGCATGAACGCCCGCTGCGCATGCTACCTTCCAGCGGGGACGGCCTTTCTTTCGAGCCTCTGCAATGTGCTGGTTTTTGCAGTGATGGCTCAGCTTTCTATTCAGTTATTGCACCACACTACAAGGTGCACTGCAGATCCCCAGCCTGCCAGAAAAGCCAGTCTTATTACTTGGGGATTTCACACACCGCCTGATCACAATGCTCATCTTCCCTGCACATCTATTCAGCCGAGGTGTTCGCAATTGGAAGTGACAATCACATACGGCGTTATTGCAGGATGCTTTTTTTCCCCCCAAACCTCCAGGTGACACTTTGTTGGTCGGCGGGGTTGAAGGAAGGAGGGAAGGTTCTGCCGTGGCACATGAAGCCGGAATGTTTGTTTCTTTCATGTGCAACTACAACAAACAACTGTTTTTTCAATTGTTCCCGTTTATTGTATCACAGTTCAGTCACACATGTGTGTTAACTGTGTGTTTTCCCTCCCCGACCCCTCACTTCAAGGGCAATGCCAACCTGGACATCCAGAACGTCAACCAGCAGACTGCATTGCACCTGGCAGTGGAGCGTCAACACACCCAGATAGTCCGGGTTAGTGGGCCCTTCTTATGTTTCTATCCTTTTATTGGTCCCCTACTCCCATTTTCTAGTTTCGAGTATCTCTCTATCTGTTTCTCATTCTGTATTATACACCAGAGGGAGTAGAACAACCCCAGTGCAGGCCCATATTTAATTCAGACCGGTGGACATCCTGCCGCTGCATGTGCTCCTGCTTCAGATAATGCCATGTGGGGGGGTGGTGGGGGGGGCTCACTGAGGCCGTGTCTTAAAGGGTCCTTCGCTGTGGTATTGGATTGAGATTGCCACGTTGCTCATCTTGTGGACTCAAGAAAAAATGCACTCCATAATTGGGGAGTTCACTGCCTGCAGAAACCTTAAAGGATGAGCACTGAGGGGCTATCATAACTGTGTCACATTTCTTTCCAGAGTTTCCATCCTACTGCTTGTGTGAGGCTTTTATTTGGGGCGTTTCTCTTAACAGCTGCTGGTGCGGGCGGAGGCCAAGCTCGACGTGCAGGACAAGGACGGGGACACGCCGCTCCACGAGGCACTGCGTCACCACACACTGTCCCAACTGCGGCAACTCCAAGATATGCAGGACGTCAGCAAAGTGGAGCCCTGGGAACCCTCCAAGAACACAGTGCGTATACATACATTATTAACCTCATTGTTCCTCCTGGATTACATGCGTCTGCTCGGGTCGAGATTCCTGAAGGTATCGTAAGGTATCGCGGCATTAAAGTAAAATGAAACCGCAAACTGAAAACCCTGGAGTCCGATTGTGTTCATGAGGAATTATGGCACCTCATTATCCAATCCCGGGTGTGTTTGCAGGTACACGCGAGAATGCAGTGTGTTGTAAGAACTTTAGATTACCTGCCATGGCTTTAGTGCTTCCTTTTTTAAAAGGCTCCATTTAAAGTTTAAAAACTGGTTCAATTTATTTTCTATTCGAAAAGGCTTCTATACCCTTTTCCTTTGTCCATTTGAGGGTCCGGTTATTACCCAGCATAAAACACCTGGAAACACTACGAGTCACCGGTGTATTTCAGGGCAGAGGAACACGCAAACATTTTCACTTCAATGGGATTATGATTTAATGGGAGCGCAACCCACCATGACCAACAGCCACTTTGGTTTTAGTAGTTTTGCAATAACTCTTCTGGGGGAAAAAAAAGACTAAACACATGACATGTTTTTTCTTTTTAATTTGACTTCGGGAGCAGGGTCCCGATTCTAGTTTACTAACACTAATCGATCTCCGAACCATCTGAGATTCTGAAGTCTGCAGAAATAAGCCGTTTCAGGCCCTCAAGCCTGAAAGAGTTCTTCCCTCTGTGGAGGCCGTGTCAGACGTGAACCGTCTCCATGTTAACACCACATCCCTAATCCCTGCAGGGGCTTGCAGGCTGTTTGAGGCTACGGGGCCGAGCCGCGGCTTCAGACTCGCCTGCCACTCCCCATTCGATCCTGCTTCTGTCCTGCCATGGTTCCCCGCGCGGAGCAGCGGAGGAGACAGACAGCAGGCCTAATTGAGATATGTGCAGTTGGGTCACTCTCCCATAGCTTTCTCCAGCTTGAAGATGAAAATTGAATCAACCGGCCCGGTGGCTCCAACGCCTCTCCGACTCCTGACAGCCATCTTAATGAATGCCTTTTGATAGGCTAATTAATGACGATTTCGGCATGTCCCATCTGAATTTAACTCTAAAGTCATCTTAATAATCTCCCAATCAGGTCTGCCTGCTCCCTCCTTTGTCTTTACGGCAATGCCGACGCGTGAGGAAGACAAAAGACAACGGCCCTGCCGGATTTCAAGCCGAAAACAATGTTTCATGTCCAAAGTGCCCGCACTCGTCTACTTCTGATCTATCTGTTTTTGTGCGTGTCTGTCTGGCTCCCTGCAGTTAATCATGGGCTTGGGCACCCAGGGGGCAGAGAAGAAGAGTGCAGCATCCATCGCCTGCTTCCTGGCAGCTAACGGAGCGGACCTGACCATCCGTAACAAGAAGGGCCAGTCCCCTCTGGACCTGTGTCCAGACCCCAGCCTCTGCAAGGCTCTGGCCAAGTGCCACAAAGAGAAAAGCAGGTAAACATCGCTTCAAGGGAACGTTTGACATTTTCGGAAATACACTATTTTGATTTCTTTCCGGGGGGTTGGCTGGGAAGATCAATACAAATCTCAGGTCCGTCAGTTAAATATGAAGCCAGTCGGCCACGCAGCTACACGGAAACTGACTTGTGTTTTTGGGAGTTGCTTCGGCCCAAAGTCTCTGAATGTAGTCTGAGACTTGGGTCTGAAGTCTGAATGTAATGACGTGCCGGAGCGGTGGGTGAAAAAGGGATCGATCCACTCGCACGTCTGAAGCTCAAGTGTGAGAAATTGTTCATTTGTGGGGTTTTACTGCGGTTCACTTCTCATACTTTGTTTTTGCTTCCTTCAGACCTTGTCGGTCATATCGAAACAGACAAGCCGACCTAGATTTTATGAACTAGTTTATTTATTTAGTTTGCTTTTCACTTTTATGTGGCCAAATAAAAAAATAACTGTTAAATCAAACTGACATGAAAAGTCTAGAAAACAAGAAGACAATTTTCTTCTGAAAAACATGAATGTAAAGGAATGTTTGTTTTCTCAATTATATTTTTTCCCCCATACTGACTTGCAAAAGTGAACCATCTAAGGAAAGTCGGCAAAAATCTTTTTGATTTTGTTTTTATTTAAAAACCAAAAGCCTCTTCTGCTGTCCTCTGCTCGCCTCACGTGCTCGTAACCTCTCCCGGCGTTCCAGCGGCCAGGTGGGGACCCGCAGCCCGTCTCAGAACAGCAACATCGAGTCCTTGGACGAGTGCATGGTGTGTTCGGACCTGAAGAGAGACACTCTGTTCGGGCCCTGCGGACACATCGCCACCTGCTCCCTCTGCTCGCCCCGCGTCAAGAAGTGTCTCATCTGCAAGGACCAGGTCCAGTCCAGAACTAAGGTACCACCAGAAGTATTCTGTCCGCCCGTACGCAGGGGAACACCAGCCAACGCCGCGGAGCGGATGCTTTCATTGCGTTTTGTTTGATTCCCCTCCCCTTTGCAGATCGAGGAGTGCGTAGTCTGCTCTGACAAAAAGGCAGCCGTGTTGTTCCAGCCCTGTGGCCACATGTGCGCTTGTGAGAGTGAGTCCAAACCTCGGCATCTCTCCGTGAATTGAAGAGGAAGGCGCTGTGTGTGCGGGGGGTCTGACCGGTGTGTGTGTGTGTGTTCTGTCCTCACCAGACTGTGCCAGCCTCATGAAGAAGTGCGTACAGTGTCGGGCTGTAGTTGAGCGCCGCACTCCCTTTGTTCTGTGCTGTGGAGGGAAAGGTATGGAGGATGAGGCCGCTGATGATGATGATGATGATGATGATGATGATGATGACCGTAGTGAGTGAAACTTCCACACGTTCCCTTTTAATTCCACCTTACTTTCCTTTTTTCCCTCTTTTCACGTTTCCACTTCTGTTATTTTATAACTGCCTTAAGCCTGTTTTATATTTTGCTGCTTTGCTAATGCATTTAATTATTTTGTTTGCATCATTGATACATTGTTTGGTTTTTTGTTCCTCCTTGTGTACAAATGTACAAATTCAAGTCAGACGTTTGAACCGGCTTCACTAGTGCAAGGCTGCCTTGTCTGAAAATCGCCCGGCTAGATCTTCCAAAAAGAGAGGATTTTGTGTGTCAGATAATACATTTTTTTACTCTCAATAGTAAGTTTTGCTGATTAATATAATAATGTCCTAATACACAAACAACCTGATTTCCTTATTCTAGTTTCTGTGACCTCTTGTCAAAAATAACTATTATCGTGTTCTTGTAAGAGAACACAAGCACGATTCTCAGTTGCACCCAAGTGCTGTCATCAAGCTTACCCATGAATAAGGCTCAATGTAGTGGCAAATATATTTATGTTTGCTTGCATTCACGTCCTCTTGTCTCCAAGTTGAACACAGTGTTTTATTGCCTGTGACCTTCTTTTAGTGGTGCATCTCACCAGTGGTCGCTCCTGGCGTGAGTTAAAAAGGAAACTGTTGTGGGTTCTTTAACTTCACTTCTTTTATCCCAGTAACCCTCATTTTATATTTCTCCACGAGCCAACTTGTTGGCAAATATTTCTTTGCCTTCCGTTACCGGACGTGCAAAAAGCGAACGCAGACCCAGACCCTCATTCTCGCATGCAAGGGGCAGCATTGATTGTTAAACTCTTCTCCCTTCGTCCCGTAAAGCCGACCGTAGATGCCTGTTACCAAAGTAGATCAAATGCACGAAATCCAATTGGCTTTGATTCACGCTTCTCTGACGTAAGAATAACCAGCCGCTCTGCATTCCGACTCAGAGGAGGCTCTACTTCCTGTTCTCTCCCTATTCACTGTTTCCAGCTTGCTGGCTTTTTCTTAAGTCTTTCTCTGAACCTCCCTTAGAGGCTGTAGTGAGTAGCGTCAGTCCCCAGGCCAGCTGTTGAGCTGGCGAGGACGGCTCCCGCTATAACGATGTGACTGGTTATTCCCAGCAGGGAGCTCTAACACTATGGCAGGGGGATCGCAGGATCTTCTCCAGCCCAACAATCTGGCACTAAGTTGGTGTAAGTATACCTCTATGATCCCCTCCCTTATCAGACCCCCCCCCCACCCCCCTTTCCCCAAAGAGCTCCCCCAGTGCTGCCCTGGCCCCAGCTCCCCTCCCCTTAAACTGCCTCCTCTTGCTTTTACAGTTGCACGCACGCACACACAGGAAATGCTGATACAGAGTATTTGTGACGCAGCGGCCAAGAATCACATTTGTGCTCACTATCTCCCGTAGATTAGTTTAGTGTTCAGATGATGTAATTGAGGTAGTTTTAAACATTCATCCTGAGGCTCCTTCAAAGACTAAAGTGTATGAAGTTTTGTCCCGCGTCAGGTCCTATTTCACGATGCATTTCTGAATAAAAAGCCATTTAAAAATGAATGCAGTCCCCACTTAGACTGCTACGGCTGTGTTTAAATTCAGAGTGCGCTCGGTTTCGGGATCCACGCTTGTTTTACAATCTGGCTCGCAGCTGGTTTCAGGATGGCGAGGTCGGTGTGGCTGCATTTCACTTCATTTCCACTTCCTAATATAGTTTTATCATTACAAGAAGGTGAAGTTTGGTTTGGCCTCCGGCGCCAACCTCTTGATTTGTTTGGCCTCCCTGCCGGTAGCTGAGTTCCCTTTTTTTCTCCCCTCAACATGTCCGCCTGCCGCCGCGTCCTCGCAGCCAGCGGAAACATCCCGGGTCTGCAGAGAGACAAGGACAACACCAACGTCAACGCTGATGTGCAGAAGCTGCAGCAGCAGCTGCAGGACATAAAGGAGCAGGTAGCCGCACGCGATCTTCAATGTATTCTTTTGTTTAAAGAAGTGTGTGTGTGTGTGTGTGTGTGTGTGTGTGTGTATATGCCGCATCCTTTTGACAGCTGAGTGACGTCATTCATGACCTGTGATTGCAGACGATGTGTCCGGTGTGTCTCGACCGGCTGAAGAACATGATCTTCATGTGCGGCCACGGCACCTGCCAGCTGTGTGGGGACCGAATGAGCGAGTGCCCCATCTGCCGCAAGGCCATCGAGCGCCGCATCCTCCTTTACTAGACCCCTCCGCCACCACGCCTGCCCTCTCCCACACCGACAACACCCCCCCCTCTCCACAGACTCTTTCTCCTCTCTCAAAGCCCTCAACGCGCCCGCAAAGCCACAATCACACCAGCTGCCCGCTGCCGCCGCCATCCCCACAGCGCCCGGGTCATTCGGCCGGCCGGGGGCGCCCACGCTCCGTTGTTTCAGGTGGAACTTCTAAAAAAAAAAATCTGAATTGACTTTTAGCAGTTGCGCCGTTCTGTCGCGTGTTGCAAACCGCAGCGATGCGATCTTCAGGGGCGCCCGCGTCTGCATTTCAAGCCAGAACAGCGCTCAGCTTTTTCAGGACTGCCCAGGAGGCTCCGCCCCCTTTCCCGTTCCCTCTGATGTAAAGTTCTCACGCGCCTGTCGAGTTTTATTGTCAGTACATCTCAATCCACGTGTATTGGTATCGGAAGCTCCAGGTGTGGATTTTAAGTCGTTCGTTTCACAAGAGAATAGCAGGTCTGTGACTCGTTACCGTTTGCGCCGCTCGGCGGTCCGGCGGCGCCGCTCGCCGATGGAAACCGGGCGTTGGCAGTTTTTTACACCTGCAAGAGCCGCGTCAGGGTAAAGGCTGTTTTCCGCAATGACTCTGGCGGCCCCCCTTCAGCCCGTTTCTAAAGCACTGATGGAGTTGTAGCAGCTGCCCGGGAGCACACCGCACCCCGCTAACCGGGCCGCACCACGATCCGCGGCCTCGCAGACACGCCCCTTTTTGGGCTGTGAAACGCTGGCGCGTAACGATTCAACAGCAACACACACACACACACACACACACACACATTCAGCTTGTGTCCAGTGATCAGCCGCTGTACCTGTTTGTTGTACACACAGACCCACACGATGCAAACACTTCTGTATCTCGTCACAACTTGATGTTAAACTATTGAGACTCGATCGTCTTGACAAACATGTACAATTCAACGAGCAGTGCTAATTTACCATTGACAACGCTGTGCCATTTGCTTCCAAAAATGTTACTTGTTAAATAACTTGGGGGTATGGGGAGAAGGTGCTCTTTATCTTGTATTACTTTTTATTTAAGTGTATCAAAATCCACATTTATTTGAGCTCGAGAGTAAAATCTATTGAAACACTAAGATGAAAATGTAGAATAAATTATTTTGTATTGCTGCCCAAAAAAAAAAATAGGATTTATAGGTAACACTGCCTTCCTAATATGTAGCCTCAAAATCTCTAACGTTCTGCTTTGATATTAATGTTGAGATTCATTTGTGATGTTTTGCGTTTTCTTTCTGGCGATCATCAGTAGAAGCATTTTCTTTTTCTCTCTGAAATAGATCCCTGCAGGCCGAACTGGTTCATTTCATTTGCGAAACAAAAAAAAAAAGTTTAAAAAAAAGACATTTTGTCAAAAGCGTCCAGTATGTTTTCATCAGTGTTTTATTTGGGAGGAAAGCTAATGATTTTATAAAGACAGAACTGCCTTACCTGTTTTCAAAGGCAGTTGCCCACGTGGAGACTGTGTGGCAATTTGCATCTGCATAAGAGCATTTTTTTTTTTCTTCCTTACCTCTTTTGACTGAAAGCAACTTTTTTGAGTAAGGTTTTGATTCTTTTCATTGATCATGATAACACTTAAAGCTAGAAGCACTAATACGCTTTATGTTAGTGTTGTCTCGTTACGGTTGTCATGAAAAAGCCTATTTTGTACTTCATTTTCAATACCTGTGACTGTCCTGTTGGAAATGTATCGGTAGTATTTTCTTTGGCATGAATGTTTGACATATGCAGTACGACATGTATCATGGAAACCGTTCTGTCTGTATTGCTAAGAAGTGCTTTTAAAACAACCATATAGCTGAAATAAAGTTCTACACGAACCACGGGACTTGTTCAGCTCCTAGCGCGCTGTTTGTCGGCTCGCCGCGTCGACCTCTTCTGAGCGCGTCCATTAGCATTTTGTTGCTTTTCTCCTGCTGTGCAGCGTCTGCAGACACGGTGGCAGAGATGGGGAGGTGTGAGCTAATTGAAAAAGCTAACACCTAATAATGACTCGGCACCAGCGTGCGATAGGTCAGCCGTGCTAATCGGGAGAGAGAGAAAAGAGTAAAGGCAAAAATAATTAAAAGAGAAAATGCACCGGAGAAGAGGCCCGAGCGGAGCGATGCGGCCATTTGTGTTCCGGCTCATCGCCCGGTCCATTCATAACCCCGGACGTCTCTCCGGGCTCGGGGCTCACACGCCGCCGCCGTATGCAGCAGCTCATAACAAAGGCATCCGTCACGCTGTCGGCCTCCTCACTCCGTCAATGCTCAGCGGCTGCAGGGGAGGCCCTGACACCTTTTCCTCTGCTCTCAGATCTCTGCGACTTGGCTCCAGGCCCAGACGGTCGGCCGTCATTCCTGTGGCGCTTTTGTCATTTTACACTCAAGTGGCTGTCTTTCAAAAGGACGGCTCCCCCGTATGGTCCCCCGTCAGGGCGGCGCGGAGAATAAACTGGACACAAGTTTTAGCGTTTAGTAGTTTTTACTCAATAAAATTCGAATCTAATGTGCATGTTAATGCTATGGATCTATTTTCAGGTTAGCCGTGTGACTGACCATTATCTCCAAGCTGAACAGAGACATTCAGGGGGAGGGGGGGGGGGGTGGCAAGCCGACTGGCTTGTCGGGTGCTGGAAACCCCCCTATCTGTCCTCCTGGGGGAGGATCCCCGAGCGCCGCGCCTGGGGGGTTCAGAGCTGCTTGAAAGCCGCAACGTTTTGCTGAATGGAATGCAAGGGGTTTGTTGTTGCTCCCACACCAGTTGGTTGTAGGCAGGAGAGCTGTGGAGTAGATATACACACAGGTGCCCTTCAAAATATTATTAAGCGAAGAATCATGTCTTCTCTGAGCAGCAGATAGAGACGGATTGGGGCCCCCCCCCCCCAGAGAAGAACGGGCCGAAAGTGACCGTGACCGTGCTTCAAGTCTCTGCTGTGATCGCTGAGGAAGAGCCAGTGACCAGCAGAGTCGGCATGCCACAGGAGGTGAGGGAGGGAGGGGGGGGGGCGGCGGCGGCGGCGGCGGCAAGTTCTGACCCCAACAGAAACGAATACATTCGCCCCGCATCCGCTGTGAGATGAAGCTCTGACATGCAGGTTTCAGAGCGCAGCACAAGGTGGCAGCACATCCAATGGCTGAGCCCCCGCAGAGGACGACGCAGCCACGGAGGAACCCTTCAGTTCACCATCGCGTCTGGATTCGGGCCTTGAGCGTGCATGTCGTGACCCCCCCCCCTCGTTGTCTCCGACAGTAAAGGGGAAAGGTTGTAACATTTAATCATTGCCTTCTGCAAGAACGTTGTGTCATTACACATTCTTTTCCAGACTTCTTTTTTCAAACCTCTACCTGCAGAAATCCCTCCCTCCCTCCCTCCCTCCCCGGGTTCAGCTGGACCACGCAGACAAGGCTCAAGGGGAGAAATGCTTCCTTCCATCTAGTCCGCCGCTCGGGCTTCCCCTCCATGTTGGAAGGAATTGATCCCTGGCTGTGTGAAGGTCCGCTCTTTCCACCTCATGTCACCCAGTTCAGAAGTCTGGCTGAATTTATTGTCTCTGTTTATGGTCGGAGCGAGCAAAGTGCAATCTGGCTGACTGGGCTCTTCCAGAAGGGAACGGCCTAAAGATTTGTTGTTTTTTCTTCTTTTTTTTTTAACTTTAAACGAGTTTGAGCCGAGCACAAAGTCTTTTAGTTCTGACTGCCGGCCGTTCGTGGTTCCAGCGTTTGTAAATCGCTGTTTTCCGGCTTTTCGCAAACGCCTCTCAATGTCCCTGCATGTGACGTAATCCCACGTGTGTTTGTGTGTCTGTCGGGTGGCCTGGTGTACCTGAAAGCAGCAGCCCCACCTCCACAGTAAAGCCATAAACCCCTACAGATCCCTCCTCAACAACATATAGGCCCCCGACACGCTGATTGCTTTATTGATATTGATCAGGGCAGAGTGTCAAAGCCCTCGTCCATCTCTCTCTGTGCTGGCTGATTGTTATTTATGCGCAGGGGGAAGCTCAACACAAACAACACTCCTGCACTTGTGGGTGTAAAACAAGACAGTGACCTCTATTTATTTTAACTAAATGTGGAAATGTGCTTTGCAGATCCAGTGTTTTTTTACGTTTGGTATTTAGGGGCAAATTGGATCAATCAATAACACTTTGCTACACATCATCACACTTAATTAACCTTCTCTTCCAAATCCCCCCCCCCAAAGCTTTAATACGGAGTTGATTCAATTAGCTCCATTTAACGATTTTGACGATGTAAAACTTGGCTTTCAACATCCCCGGCGCCGATACTCTGTGGCTTTTGACCTGCTGCTTGTGGCCGCAGTCAGCGCTGTCCTTATCACCGCAGCGCGATTGGAGGCCGGAGCCTGCAAGGGCCACATTTACAGTGCAAATGTTATCGTTCCAATGACACTTTAAACAGCCTTTATCAATATATAGTCATTTAAGGTTTATGAGCTTTGATAAAATGCCTCTGCCCATGCAGGGGCCGCCACAACGTGTGGCTGCGAGACGCACACGTAGATGGCAATTCTAATTTTCCTGCCGACTATCTTTTAATGCTCGACGGGTAAAATAAACACCTCTGCGTGTCAAGAGGACAAAGTGGCTTGAGTGCGAAGGCTATTGATTCCCTCCTCAGGAAGAGCAGCTTAAGGGCAAACTACGCTGTTGGCTCGGCAGAACCTTATCACGCTATTATCTTTAAAATAGTGGGTTATCATATTTGCTTACTTAATAATTCTATAAAACTGTGGAAGTGCAACCTTTGCCTGAGCAGTAAACCGTAGAGGACTTTTGATGCTGAGATTGAGAAGAACCTTGTCATTTGATAAGGTAGATTACAAACACAAACGCCACACTAATTGTCATGTAAAACGCAAAAAATAATGAATGAATAAGTCAATTATCTACCACGGAAACACTGCCTTTTTAACAACTAGTATAATAGAATTCTAATTAAATTTTTTTTTGAGAAAAAACTACCAGTAGCATCCTGTCAAATCCGAGCCACTGGTCAATTATTCAAATAATCGAGGAACAGTCGCAGCTCTCTGTAGATGCACCTCATGTCACACCTAGAACAATGGGGGAGACGTACTTAATCAACAAGTGCAAACCTCGTCACATTTAACTCTCCGCTGAGCAAACGAGGCCGCGCTGACGGCGCCGGGTGAGGGTTTCTAAATAATAAGGTCAGCTTTGGGATCAGCGTTTAAGCCGCCGGCGAGCAAAGACTCCCAGAGGTTGGTGATCCTGAATCACGGATAGAGACAACGAAGAAACTCCCCGAGCCCCCCCCCGAGCCCCCCCGGTTAACTCCGAGCCTCGTTTCTTACGATTTCTTAGGAAGGGGGGCTTCTATTGAGATAGCGAAAGCTACAAAGACGCGTTGTATAACAAAACAAGCGCACATCTGACAGGTGGTAGCAGGCAGTAACCTTGGAGGCAGCGGGCAGGAATGCAGCGGCCCTATCTGAGCTCCGAGGAAAAAACACTGACTGCAGAGGCCTTCTTTTTATGTTTAGTTCAGAGAGAAAAATCAATATTCCAGAGTCCATCACACCGGCAGGTTTTTTTTTTCTCTCCCCATGTGGTTTGCAGCTATGTGAAACAAGCTCAAAGCGACCCCTGGACAAAAAAGAAATAGTTAATGCCTAACTTCTTTATCTTTGTTTTACAGCCAGGGGTTGTACCTCCAAATCAATACGTGATACACAAATATCCCAGGGCTCCGTGTTCTAGACAGAGAGCCATGACGGGGGCTTGAGAGCCGGCCGGCCTCGCACCACCTGGCCGAGGAAGGTCCTTCCTCTGAAGGCCGGGAGCTCCAGAGAGCGAGAAGATGCACGTTCAAAAATGTTTAAATGTCTGCGTAAGAAAAAAAATGTTAAAAAGAACGGTTAGCTTAGCATAGGCTAGAGACCTGGCGATGTGGAGGACCATTGACTTGCATTCTCTCGCCAGTCTTCTTCATCACGGTGGTGGTGATCCTTTATTTCGCGATGCACCCGTTTAGTGTCAAATAGACGATAAGACGGGGGACATGCGCTGGGACGTGGCTACTTTGTGAAAAGTGACAGGTTGCCACAGCGCCGTTGTCCCATCTGGGAGATGTCAATGGTTGTTGCTGTTTTTAAACTCTTTCGGAGTTTTTTGCAGCTTATAGAAGCTTTTGTAACCTTTTTAGTGCCACAAAATGTCTCACTCAGCTTTCGGTTTGTATCGCTTCTTCCAAATAAAAACTTGGACAAAAGGCCGAACCCAAGGTTACAGAGCCGTAGTAAAAAAGCAGTGACGTCACAGTTCTTAAAATATGGTGCCCAACAACAGTCCCCTTTAACACCACCCAACGCTGTTTTATTTACAATAAAGAAGATTTATTGTTAATTAGTGAGCTTTAGACAAGCTTGTAAGCAGCGTCATTTAATTTGATTGATGGATTTTTTTTTTTTTACAATTTCCTAATTCTTGCTTTTTGTCGAAAACAAAAAGACTGATATTTATTTTTAACCGTCCTGGAACAATTTTCACCAGAACACGGGCCGACTCGGGTTAATGTGAAGGGTGAAGGTCTCGGCGGGCGGCCTGGGAATGCAGCATGTGGCCCTTTGATAGCAGACCAGGCAGACTTTCCACGCTGTTGTTCCGAGGCCCTTTGGACGGACGGCAGAAACCCGCTGGGTGTTTACAGCAGAGTCCGACCCGGCTTGAAGTTTTCTCTCTGCTCTCCGTGTCTTCGCTGGCCCGAGATAGTTGATATCTGTCGCTGCCCGGCACTCTGTCCCCGCAGACCTTGTAGCAAATCAACAGGGCAGCTCCCAGACAGATAAAACGCCTCATCG